AATAAGTATTAAATTTAGGCCGAAATATTTTTGGAAGTGTAAATTTCCAAAAACCATGGTATTATTACCATGGTACCATATCCAAAAACCTGGTAATACCATGGTACTTTTTGTCAGTGGCTTTTTGCAGTACTTTCCCTCTGCCTTGTCCTCCATTCTTTTTCCTGTCATTTCCTCTTCTCTCCCCCGATACTCTCTATCTCTCATTCTCTCCCTTGAGTTGGCGAGAGCAGTCAGTGTTTCAGAGGAGCCATTTGCACATATCTTAGCTGGGTGATTTCTCTCATCCCTCAGGCCCCATTGTGCCCCACACCAGCTGTGCCTGAGAGAGGGAGACAGACAGTGAACATACAGACAGTGTAGGGGCATTTCCCTTCCACAGGCTGATGTGTGTTTGTGTTTGAGACTTTATATGTTTGTCAAAGAGCCATGAACTCTCTGCGTCTATGTGTGTGACTCTTTCTCATTATCTGTAATCTGTTTATAATGCGACATCTCATTATTCTTGCTGATCCACTTGGGTGTAGAAAAGGGCACCAGGGCTTGACAGATCTATACTGGTGACAATAAAGAATGAGAGAAAATCAGAGCCAAGTGAAGATAAAAATGGACTTCTTTCATCTAGTTGCACTGAATGTCTTCTGTTTGGGTTTGATTTCTGGTTTCACGTCTAAATTCTTTGTGCACGTTGCTCTAGTTGCTGTGGTGTCCAAAAGAAGAAAAATGCTGCTTTTGCAGGCAGTATCCAGAGGTTGGAAAGCATCAAGGCATGTCCGAATGCAATGTTTGCATAACATCCTGTTGACTGAGATGCCTTCATTAGGTTTGTTGAAGGCAACATAGATATCCTTTGCTGCCTATGATATCTCGCAAACCTGGCATGCAATTCAAACAACAAACTGAACAAACATTAATAAAAATGACATTCGGTGAAGCAGTTGAAAAATAAATACATTTATAATGTCTATTTTTATGTCTACATTTTTACTAAGATGATTTGGGGAGAAAATCTAATTGCGACATTTCAGATAATAAAAAAAGCGAAAAAAAAAGAAAAAAAATTTTTTTAAAAATTAATTAAATGTAATTAAACGATATAATTCTAATATTACAATATGTATGTATGTATATTTATCAATATTTCTTATTTTGTTAATGTTTGTATTTATTATTATTATTAAATACTATATTTCTATTTTACAGTGAAATATTTAAGATAAATAATAATATAATAATAATATTTATGGCTGTCTTAAATCATTTTAAATCAAACATTAAACCATCAAGCTTTTATTCTGTCTGAAAACCACAGGGAGCCGTTGAAGCTCGTCTTTTGTTGTCAGCAGCGGGTTTATAAGCACTTACAAGTTTGGGAAAATGGTTGGTGCATCTTCCGTTCCCAAATGCACGTGATGTTCCAGTTCAGAGGTACCTTTATACAGAAAACATTGCCTGTTTCGACACCAACTGACTGGACAGTGAGGCAGCTGCCTTGAGTTTCGGACACAGCCACTGGTTCAGACCTCCATTTCATTCTCATTTGGTGTGAGATGGGTCTTTTTATCTCATGCCAGTGCTTGTTAACTGAGACGGCTACAAAACACGATAGCTGTGCTGTGCAAAGGGAGCAAAATACGATCAATCAGAGCTGCTGGTATATTGTGCTCTTACACTTCCAGCTCTACGTTGAGGTGTATGTACTGTACTACACAAGCAGCTTTCCACTGCTAGAGGGCATTTTATAAATTAAAAGGCTTATGATGGTGCATCAAGGAATCCAGGCTTGTTTTGCTGATGCTCGAGTTGGATGTGGTAGGGGAACATATTTCAGATCGAGCTTAGGTTCACACTGCAGACACATTTATTTTGAGCCAGATATTAACAGGTTACACTATTCATGCTGCCCGCGTAACACTGGTAGCAGAAGCGTAGCTGTAAGTATAGTTTGCTATGCCTATTCTGTCACACACAGTATACTAAATACAGATAAATAAACTGTATTTTTGAGTTGAAACTTGAAAATGCACCATAAACCTATAAATCAACACAATGTTTTTCAATGTTGGCTTTTATGAAACAACATAAAATAATGCAGAGTAAAAAGTTTGATAAAAGTTACGCACACAGTGACAGGCACTGTCTGACTGACTGAATATGGACCATTTTATGATTTTATATAGACCAGTAACAAACTAACGCAATGGTCCTAACGCATTTCTGGTTTTACACTTTTTATTTCTGAGAACTTCATCCGAGTATCCAAAAAGGTCCACATTTTGATAATGACATGTTATGACAGCCGTGTTTAATGATTGAAGCACCTCCTGTTACTGTTTTGAAATAGTTTGACGACAAGCAGGAAATGTTTATAGGTCAGTGACATCACCGCACTGAAATTGTCCATAGATGAATTAAGCCATTGATATTCTGAATTCTGAATTTGATATGATTAATTATCATATGGATGATCCATCTCCTTACATTTCATGATATTTATGGCCCGTATAGACGACTAATGTCTTTTTGACATTTTTAGGGCATGTGCCCCCATGAAGCACAGCAAATGACATCATTAATTAAAAATAAAATCTAAAACAAATTAGCAAATTGTGTGTGTGTGTGTGTGTGTTATACACACAAAATTTGCTAAATTGTTTTATATTACATAAATATATATTTGTAAATACAAATATATATACACACACAAATACATATTTAAGAAGCTATTTATTATTTATATATACATCAATTATAAAAATTGTTTATATAGTTTGTATTTGTATATATACACGTGATTTTCTGATGCGTCAGGATTCATAGGTAGTGTAGTCCTTCACTATACTATACTATTATATATAATACCATATAGTCACTATTAAATATTTAAAAAATATTCCAAATATTCAAACTTGTAACCTAGAAATCATTTACGTTATTTATGATTGAAGGATACGGATTTATAATGATATTTACGTTACAAGAATGCAGTTTGGTTACACAATGTGAAAGCACAACACGATCCTGCGGCAGCTTCTCTTGCATGCTGCTTATGCGAGCGGTGTGAAACAGACCTAGAGCAAAGAATTAAAGAGCTCTCAGTGGCCTGTGCTCTTACTGGCCTTCTCCTCCATCATCTGAGTCAGAGACCACAGAACACACACACACACACGCATGAAGAGAGCGCCCATCCCACTGACTCGCAATACATGCAATATTTAACAATACAAGTAATCTAAAAACAGCCTCTTTGCACTTCATAATACCAATACAGCAGACACAAATAAGACAACTTGTCTGTGAGATGCTCTGCATCACTGAGAACACATCTAATCAAATGAGAATTCCTCTCACATGTCGCACATAATTACCGGCTAATTGTTTATTACTCAAGCTAAGTAAAAGGTTATCTCACCAGCATGCAGCAGGCAGGGGAATATGGCAACACACTGCATGTGACAGCACAGTGCTGATAAACAAGAAGAGCTGTAGTGTGTGTGTGTGTGTGTCTGTACAAGACAGTTTAGATTAGTAGTGAGATTCATGCATCAGAGGGGGTGCACAGAGACTTTAAGGATAATAATGCACAAGACCATATGTCATGAAATAATCTCCTTTTTATTGTAATGTGGAAGTATGATTTGTTGACCGAATTTAATGCTTTGTGTGTGGGTGAAGGGTGCCTCGGGGGGAGGAGCAAACTGAATAGAGTGCCTCACTTTTCCTGCTTTTTAGTAAACATGAAATATTTTTTACTTTGAGTAACTGTCTTGATGCATATCTAAATATGGGAATTAATTTATTCCTGCAATCTCTTGGGAGCATCTACTACATGAATCACTACAGAGGCAACAGTGGATTGCAGATACAGTGACTAACAACAGAAATGTCTCTCGCTAATGGGAACCGCAGCAGTTCTCCTTAACAATAGCAGAAAGTGTGTCCCTGCCCAAACCAGCCCATGTACTGCTGAGCAACAACGTCCTTGTGTCCGTGACACAAGTCAGTGGCACAATAATAATGGCAAAGCTTGTGTGTGTTACGATTGCCAGAAATATCATTACATGCCATGCAAGAGGCAAAGAAGAGTTTGGCTTCACAATTTTTGATTGCATTTGTTTGACACAAGCACCAGCTGTGAACGGAAATCAAAAGGATTGTTTGAAATCTTGCTGTGTGCTTTGAGCAGCAAGAGAACAGGTCAGAGGTCCGAATAACCGCACAGCAAAATTTAATGCTTATCCAGGATGTGACATGAAATATTATACATCCAAAGAGGAATGCAGATAAAGACAGCATTTACACCCAGAACACCCATAAAGAAACTGTATGGTATGAATATACTGGACAACACTGGTACAGTTTCAGCAAGTAAATATCCATAAATGTCTATTAAAAACGGGAAATATTTGCAAATTGAAAATATTATAACCTGTACATTTTTATTAAAAATGTGTATATATATA